TTTTCAGACAAGCACACAATATTTTCTTTATAGGTTTTAAAGTTGGTCAATTTTTATTTGATGTGTTAGTGTGACCCACACTATACACAAGGAAGGTTAGAGAATGACTGTAATGTGTTCAAGGTAGCGTGTGTGCTTCAATGCCTGCTAATTTTCAATAATCAAACATTGCATATTTGAAATGTCTCATATTCAATGGTGTACTGCCTTGACATCTTCTTGTAATTATATAGTAATATTAATATTATTAATATTGATTATGAAAAGCAAAATATTATCAATGAAAATCTTGTAATTACCCAGCAATGATCTGCTCCACATTTTGATTTCCAATTAAAATATTTATATAAATTAAAAAATATCAATACAAGTAAAAAAAAGTACCTCTGGTTAGTTATTAACACTTCTTCTTTAGGAGATTCAAACCAAACTAAACAACAACACTCACGTTTTGTCACCTTGGACTCTGTCAAAAAATAAATTGTTTTTTCCAAGAAAAAAAAAATCAATTCACGTCTGTCCTACCAAAAAAAAAACCAATAGGATAAATAATTAGTGTACGCGTCTAGTGATGGGAATTTTTAACCATACACTTAATAATTCCAAGTTATTAATTAGTTATTAACCACTTATTAACTATCTCATTCTGAGCAAGAGTTATTAACCCAAGGAAAACCTATATACAGACCAAGTCTTTCCTAATTTGGAAGCCCTATTGTTATTTTTGTAAAAAATTTATTGCCCATAAAAGTTCTTCAGTTTTGTGTTTTTTAACACTTAATAAGTCACTAATAGGGTTATTAATTACTTAATAACTTGATCATTTTAAAGATAAATTTTTATGCCTATCACTAGAAAAGATGAGGTTCCCAAGTTAACAGAAAATTTTAATTTTGAGTTAATTGAGAAATCATTAAAAGATGGTATCCAACAATTCTAGGACAATGTATTAATTTTATAAAATTTTTATTGAATTATTAATTTTGATGTATTTTAATCAATTTTAAAATTTTTGATTGAATTATGTAATTAATAATTTTTGGTTTTTCATATATATAAGTAAATCAATCATTAGTATTATTTATATATTATATATTAATATATTAATTCGTGGTCCGCTGATCAACGATAGATTTTTAATATGTAGATCCGGGATATTAAACATATTAAAAATTGGTTGATGATCAAAACCAAAACTACCCATTTTTATTTTAAAAAAATATATATATTCTATTACTTTTTTTTTTAAAAAAAACTCTTAAAAAAATAATAAACAGTTTATTTTATATAAATTCTATAAAAACTTATTTCAATCATGAATAATTTATCTGTGCAATTATTATCTAGTGGTATTATTGATCCT